GGTGGTTCGACCTTTAAATCATTTGGTTTTGCATGAAGGCCTAAACAATGCCCGTCTTTTTTATGGCACAGAAACATGGACGATGTCTAACAAAGATAAGCAGGCTTTGGGGGCTTTCGAGAGCATTATTATTCGCACGAACGGGGCCATAGTTCGCGTGGGCGACGTGTACCGAAGAAGATGGAATAACGAATTGTACGAGTTTATTAACGACATGTACATAGTTAAGCGCAGAAAAATACAACGAAAAATTGCGCTGGCTTGGACATGTTGTACACATGGATGAGGGAGTTTTAGACACATCCATGTAAACAGACGGCTTACCTGGCGCAGACATATAAAAACTAAGGTACTACCAATGAAACTAGCCCTAGGATTCAGTAAGCAGTCTCTAGGTACTAATATGACTTTCCGTGGTGAACATGGATTTTGAGACTATTTGGTATTCAGTAAGCTGTCTCACGTCTTTAGTCTCAACAAAAAATGTCAGCTGGCTCTGAGCTGGTCACAAAAAGAAAAATATGGAGGAAATGATAATTACTTTCTGTTTTATTTAAAAAAAAACGGGAAAATTAAGCGAAGAAATGTTTGTCCAACAACGATTTTACTAGGAAATAAACCAAAATACTTTACTATTATTCATTGAAAACAAAACTTTTTTGAAACATTAAAATCTAAAGACTGTGTAAAAATATAAAACTTACCATAAAAAGAAAAAAATCAAATAGAAAAATAAATAATCCTCGGCACCCGGGGAGGACTCGAACCCGGATCTCTGGAGGGTAAATATAATGCTTTGGCCACTCGGCCATTGCCATTCTTTGAGCAGGGTGCAAAAGGCATACATAAATGCTATCAGTTGACTGTATGTGTTTGTTTCACAACACATTTTTGGTTAACAAACATCTCAAGTCACAAAAATAGTCACTAATTGCTGGTCTCAAGTTTAGACTATGTTCAAACAGGCCAATTAGCTGAGGCTCACACGTCAGATGTGCATTTTGCGGCACGAAAGCAATTGCTGGATTACCTACAGTGATGGAAAAATTGGTACAATCATACCTTTATTTATTTTGAAAGTACATTCGGTAAAAACACAAATTTTTAGGTACATTTGGGACGTGCCCAAATAACTTCTCAGGAAATTAGTTCTTATTTTTATTGACATTTCGATGCATTTTCTGGTGCGCGCAACTGGTCTAATAGCTTCCGTCCTTTGTGAAGGGGCATACAAATGATACAGAAGGGTTGTCAATGTAACGCAACTATAGTTGATTTCGTAAGATAGACGGAAAATATTTCATTTTAAAACGTCAGATCGAAGAAATGGGAGGAAAGTGATTAACCTTTAGAACAACATAGTATTGTCTCGCGCTGTTCGAAGAGATACTTTTCATAGCCAAAATTTGTTTAATGTGAGTACAGAAGTTGATATAGTATCTATGGGAATTGTTATCATTTTATTTTCTCTATATGGATATATATATTTACTTTTTGGATACATCTATCTACTTTTAGGTAAAGTCTACCGTAAATTTGGTACAATTTTATAATTAAATTTTCTATCCCTGATGGAATATCAGCCGTAAAAAAGGACCAGATACGAACAGCTGATTGCTCTTTGTTCAATAAACATACCTCCAAGTCAAAATTAAATATACCTAGGGATGCATAAAGAATCTGACACAAATTTGAAGTCTTTTATGATAAATTGGGTAACAATTAAATCTTAAATTGGTGAAAAAGTTCTTAATTGCCAATTAGGTGCCTGTTTGAACATAGTCTAAGTGACTTGAGTTCGGACTGAATTACTGAATACCAGGGTAAGGTCAGCTAGCTTAAACTGGCTTCTAAAAAAAAAATAGAAACTGAAATTAGGTTATGAGTTGCGCATATCATCACCTGAGTAGAAGATCGACCTATATTGACAACCAGTTTGAAACGCCCTATCTCAGAAGGCTTTTCAAGAACGCCTTTCTTCAGAATTTTGGTTGAAGAACGCCTAATTTCAGAATTTTGTTGAAAACGGCTTATCTCAGCAGTTGGTTGAAGAACGCCCTTTCTCAGCTGGCGATTCAAAAATACCCTATCTTAGGTGAAAATACATTGAAAATGTGCAGAGATAGGGCGTCTTGAATCCGCAGCTAAGATAGGGCATTCTTCAACCAAATTCTGGGATTGGGTGGTTTTCTATCAAATTCTGAAAGTAGGGCGTTCTTGAAAATTTTCTGAGATAGGGCGTTTTCGAACTGGCTGTCGAGATAGGTGAATCTTCCACTCAGGTATCGATATACAATACAGTTATAAACCTATTTGGATGTACGGTATTCAACTATGGGGTACGATCTGTGCAACTAATATTGATATAATATAGGGATATCACTCGAAAACGCTGAGAACTTTGTCAGCGGTGCCGTGTTACGTCCGAAATAAAAATATGCGCAAAGATCATGGTATACCAATGGTTAAAGATGGAGTGGAAAATAGCGAAGAAAAGTGTAAAACAAAATTACGCAATCACCCAAACCTATTGTCTAGGCAATATTTTTGTGATGATTTGTTTGTTAAAAAAATGGAGTCGTCCCTGCATATGCTAAGTTTTTTGCGAAATGTTTCTCGCAAAAAATGATTTCACATAGGTTTGTTTACATTCAAATCTTATAGAACTGATCGTTCCGACTCAGAAACAATAATAACTGTTATATGCAATTCCTAGGAAAGATAAAACAGGGTACATTAAGAAATACATACTGACTATTAAAAAAAATTGTTAGCGCAAATTTTAACCTCCATTTTTAATTAAAATTTTGTTTAAGAATAATCTAATTGATTATAACTGCCTTATTAACATTGCTTGAACTTTTTATTTCTCTTCTAGAAACGTGACGTCCCAGATTATCTCTGTGGTAAAATAAGTTTTGAAATTCTCACCGATCCTGTCATAACTCCATCCGGCATAACATATGAACGAAAAGATATTGAGGAGCATTTGCAACGGGTGGGTCACTTTGATCCCGTGACTAGAGTTAAATTAACGGAAGACCAACTTATACCGAATTTCTCCATGAAAGAAGTGGTCGATTCGTTTATTGCTGAAAACGAATGGGCTTTGGACTTCTGAAAATTATCTAAATTTATCAAATAATGAATAAATAATGGGTTATTTGAATGTATTGTGGATGATTTTCGGAAACAAGAACAAGAAAAGGGATTATTGGACTATTTTAATGCTAAATATATTTAATCGGTCTTTTTTCCGGAGGGCATACTGTTTTTAGAAAATTATCGACGATGGACACAAAAAAACATTGCCACTCAGAAATATTTATTTGGTTAATTACACTGTACGTATTATTTGAACACTTGGAATATTCCAAAAAGAGATACATAAGGCCATGAAAGAGTATTCAAATGTAGATAAACTGCATTCTCAGGTTTGTTCTATTACGTAATTTTTACGAGATAGAGGCCTATACATTGTTAATTTTTATTTAGTAGAACTTATATCTTTGTCATAAAACACATCTTATGTTTTACTTTTGGTACTTCAATTGTTAAACGACACGAATAATTTTTTTTAAACCTTAACCCCCAAAAGTCCTCATTTAGGGGTCATTTTGACCATATGTTTGAGACGGGGTAGAAAGTGGTCCGGGAATTCCTCTAGAATTCCCGGCAAACGAGGGTAGGGAAGATGCCGAACCTCTGATTGAATCAATTGTGTAAATCCGATCATAAATGAAAATAAATAAATGGACAAAAAATTAGAAAATAATATTTCTCAGTCCCATAGAATTTGTTTTGATAACTTTTGATTTTGAAATTTTAGCAAAAGTGATTATAAACCATTTATGAGATTGAATACGAAAAACGTGCAGCGCATGCAATACAATAGTCAAACTACATAACATATACCTAAAAATTCTACAGAGAAAGTACAGATTTGAGATCGATTTTAAGCGGTCGTTATTAATATATCCACATACATACATATATTACCCTTCATATCAATTCAGGTCTATTACATGCGCCCCACGCTCTTCATTTTCAATCTCATGAATTGTTTATAATGACTTTTGATAAAATTTCAAAATCAAAAGTTATCAAAACAAATTCTATGGGACTGAGAAATATTAATTTCTAATTTTTAGTCCATTTATAAAAGCGTGGTATATCAAAACGTTTTATTTTATTTGATTTATTTTATACTTTTTTGTCTTGTCTGTAAAAAATTTTCCAATAGATATTATAATAATTCAACTTGCAGTGAAAAGAGAACAGAAGACTATGGAAGCAAAATGTTTTGTGCTCACGTTGAGTATATACATACATATGTACATTAAAGTGGTCCAAAAATGTATGTAAAAAAATAAGGTCGGATTTTTAAAGCCGCCACCCCCTAGGATTGTTATATACCGAAATAAATATACCCATATTTTTTTATTTTGAAATCAAAAAATATTTAGGTAGTGCTCAAAGCGCTCAAAGTTTTCCATGTATTTTATATGGAGAAAAAACAATTTTTCGTATAAATGGTATAAAACTCTTAAAAATCAATATTTTTCGACCGGAAAACTGTGGTTCTCTTCAGAAGACTTCCAGTATAAATATCCAATTGTTTATTTAACCATTGTTTATGATTAAAGATTTTTATTGGTCCCCCCATTGCATTTTCTAAGGGCTTTGAAGGACCTATAAAATATAGTTACCATGAGAAAATTCCGATCAAAAAATATTGATTTTCAAGAATTCTACACTATTTCTACGAAAAGATGTTTTTTCTCCATATAAAATACATGGAAAACTTTGAGCGCTTTGAGCACTCCCTAAATATTTTTTTGATTTCAAAATAAAAAATAGGGGCACATTTTTTTCGATATAGATCAATCCTAGGGTGTGCCGGCATTAAAACTCCGACTTTATTTTTTTTGGCCACTCTAATGTACATACATGCATATAGCAGGAATTAATTTCATGTAAAGAAATGGCGTGTCATCCTTTTCCGCTGTAGCGTACGTAATGCATATTTTTACGCGCAATATTTAACTTCTTCTGGCGGGGCGACATCTAGAGTCTTCTAATTGTATGTCTTTGATATGATATCTACAACGAGGTTGATATCTAGACTAGGTTGATATCTAGACTTTGTGATAAATACCTTTGTTATATTTAAAGTATAAATGGTGGTGTGGACACACAACATTGCAAGTTGATAAAAGCTAAGTAGCGGGACATAAAATGAACTAAATGCATTAATGCATATGTATGTACAAATGTAGGTAAGAATGTATGCGTCTTCCAAGGAATGTTAAATGCGAATATAGTTGCATCTGTGCCCATAATGACACATATGTTAGTGCTTGGCCGAGCTTCTCCAAATTGTGGCATGCGCCTTGATGTTGTCACACAAAAGGGGGGGACCTACAGTTTTACGCCGACTCAGAACGGCGACTGTATTTTTATACTTACAGTTAAAATTGGGGAAAAATTTACAATTTCGGCATGTGAAACAAAAAATCTCTATAATACGAAAAATTTGGGATTCCAAGATATGTACGAAGTGACAGCACAGCTGCATTCTTCATCTTGTATTAAATCACAATAACGTTAGCTCGGTTCACAAAATATCCCGCCCACGATGTGATAGCATTCACACTGAATGCGTTCATAAATATATACTTATGTATATGAAAACAAAGGAACCAGAAAAAATAAAAAGATTTCTACAAAAGTCAGAAAGCGACATACACAGCCTACAAATTATGTATCGCGTGCAGGGAAGTCAACTCGCTGGAAATTCCCCCGGTTTGCAGGGATTTTCAGTTTAGGTGGCAATCGGGGATTGGATAGCTTTTTGCGAAGAATTGGGTATGTTATGTTGATAGCTTAAAGTAACCAAATTAGACGAATATGTTAATTTTTAACCATTTGTCGCTATTTGGAATGAATTTGAATAACATCAACTGAAAAGTTCTTGAGAAAATGCCTATATCTATATCTATTTATATTTTCAGCAGCAAAAAAATTAAAAAATTAAAAAAATATATATATGAACAATTATAAAAACTTATCAACTTGATACCAATAAAATATTGTATTTGTATGATTGTCTCGTAGTTTAATTTTATTAAGATTTCTACTGGGTGTGGGGTGCATACATGTGTTTTTTAAGAAGAATCACTTCTATCACGTGTACGGTGCTGCACTCGTGCTTTTGAACTAATGATTTTTTTCTCAGCATTTTTGCTTAGTGGCAATACATACATATGGTCAAAAATTTGGGAACGAGGAAAGCGTGAGAAAAATTTTTATTTGAATCACTCGTCAACTTTGACATATTTTGTTAATATACATTGTATAGTATCATAAAATAATTGTGATTTATATTCAATTAAGTGTGCTTCACGGTACTTTAATTTCTCTTGTGCGTGCGATAAAAATGGAGAATATAGTAAACCCTCACAAAAAGTTAAAAATATTAATATCTTACTAATTTTTCGATACTAGAGCTGGCCTTCGGTAAGATAAAGTATTTTTGAAATAGACTAATTCAAATTTAGTGGCATTTTTTGTTTTCTTCGTGAGTTTGATCATGGTTCTCCGATAACCGTGTAACTGTAAAGGCCAAATATAAGAAAAGGCTTTATTGTGCAAAACCGAAATGCAGAAAAGGTGTAATAAATACATTTTTTTTCGTAGATTTCAATCAAGTGTAGAGCAACATAGTTATTGATATCTGAATCGCTATCGTTTTGCAACGTTTTAGTATTGAATTTATGTAACGTTAAAGACCGTTTACACCTAACAATACTAACCTCTTTTAAACTTCGACAACTCTTGAAATACTGTGCAGAAACCGCTCAGCCGGGCTCAAATCAATCAAAATTACTTTGCCAAATTAAAGAGAAATGATAAGTAAAGAAAAAAATGGCGGTTACCATGAAAAAACTACGAAACGCAACAAAAGCGAAAGAAATACAGTTGCCAAACAACGAGCGTGATCGCGTCATTGCAAAGCGTCCTGAAGCAACACGTGAACGAGTGAGAAAATGTAGAGAAAGAAAAAAGGAATGAGACAAATCTAGTGATGCAACTAAATCTATAGGTATCAGCTATAGCAATTTGCTTCCTGTTTAGTTCAAATTATTTAATAAGTTAAATGAATTATTAAACGATGGGTATACATCGAAAAGGGTCTTGAAAGGGTTGATTTTTTACCTACATGTAGGAGGGTTGCTGCTATGTAAAGGAGCGCAAATTCGGAGTTGGATTTGTGGTAGGAGCGAGACTCCGTCGCCGAGTACTGTCGTTCACCCTGATGGACGAGCGTCTAGCCACAATCCGCATCAAAGCGAGATTCTTCAACATCTCGCTCATCTGCGCCCATGCCCCGACGGAAGAGAAGGATGAGGCATCCAAGGACTTTCTATGAGCGCTTGGAGCGCATGTACGAGCGCTGCCCCCGTCATAATATCAAAATCGTGCTTGGCGACTTCAATGCCAGGGTGGGCAAGGAAGGGATCTTTGGAACCACCGTCGGAAAATTCAGCCTCCACGATGAAACGTCCGACAACGGATTGAGGCTGATCGACTTCGCCGGGGACCGAAACATGGTAGTAAGCAGTCAAGCATAAAAAGATCCATCAAGCTACGTGGCTGTCTCCGGATCGAAAAACGAGAAGGCAAATCGATCATGTTGTTATAGATGGAAGGCACGCTTCCAGTGTTTTAGACGTACGCACACTCCGAGGCCCAAACATCGACTCGGACCACTATCTTGTTGCAGCCAAGATACGCACCCGCCTCTGTGTAGAAAAAATGTGCGCCCAAATATACAAGGAAAGCTCAACGTCGAAAAGCTGCAATCACAACAGACAGCCAGCGCTTTCGCTACTCGACTCTCACACCTGCTCTCAGAGAGCACTCTTCAACAAACCGACATATGCGAGCAGTGGAACCTGAGTAGGTTGAATGAGGATGTTCCGAATGAGTGTCCGGCATTCGGAGAGACCCCACATGACTCGAAACATCTCTTCGCATGCCCGGAAAACCCGACAACCCTAACGGCCTTGTGCCTGTGGACAAACCCCACAGAAGCTGCACGCTTCCTAGGGTTGCCGT